TTACCTTTCTATAGAGAGCTTAGATTTTTGTGGAGTCTGGCGAACAGTCACATTTTTTTCTTTTCTCTTATTATTTCTTAATGAAAGCATTACAACCGGCATTCAAAAGTGTTTATAGAAAATGCTGTATTTGAGAATGTGTGGGTGTGTGTAAGCTTAGCCATGATGAAAGTGCAATAGATTCAGAATCGGGAAAGATGGATTCTAGTTTTTTTAATCTTTTTTAAATTTAGATTTTATTTTCTTAGTTGGCAGATAAAATTGTATGTATGAGTATCCAGTATAGCATGATGTTTTGAAGTATATATACATTATGCAATGATTAAATCCAACAGTTAACATATGCATTAACTCACATAGTTACCAATTCTGTAGTAAGAACACTTTATATCCACTCTTAGCATTTTTTTAGAATATAATATACAGTCTTGTTAACTATAGTCACCCTGTTGTACAATAGATTGATGTGGATTCTAGTTTGGCTTTCACTATTAACTCTGATCTTAGGCATAATCATTTAGTCACTGCACCTGCTGCGATGGCTTTGTCCTTGGTGAAATGACATCAGTGCACTGATGACAGTCCAAGTTCCTCTTATTCTGAAATCCCAGCATTTTGTTTGGGGGATAGTTTTTTTAGTGAGGTTTACTTTCAAATACAGAATTAAAGTGATATAAAACCTAACATGTAGTCTAATATTGCACACTGTCATCTTTAGTTAGGAATGCCCTAATATAGAGATCTTTTGTTGAAAACTCAAGTACAGTTTACTCATAGAACATAACTTTAGTATTGTGTGCATGTTACCAAACCAACTGTAAGTTTAATTTTTACAGTAGGTTTAAATACAAAAATTATGAATAGAGACTATAGCTAACTTTAATAAATGACAGTTCTCCTAGTTGATTTAAGAATTTAAATATTTTAACTTTTTTTTTTTCCCATTCTATTTCAGGCTGGTACACCCCTCCAAAGGAAGATGGCTAAATATGTTGACCGTAGTATGTTTGGACCAATGTTGCTTTAAAGAAAATCTTTCCAACATGCAGACACAAGCTTTGAGTGTCCCTATAACAGCAGTACTGAAGACGTTAGTTAATAGATATTTTAGTGGATAATCTGTCATCTGACATCCAGTATAAGTTACGGCTTTTCATTTGGCTCATTTTAGGTATCTCGGACTGAGCAGTGGGGCCTTTACTGTATTTTTCCTGATAAATACACATACTGGCCATTCCTGATGATCTCTTTTTTCTTGAAAAGCGAAATCTTTTAAACAGGCAAGTCAACATCAGGTTACTGAAGCTACGAGTTTAGGGTAACTTTCCTACATTGAGCCCATGGGTTACAAGGATTTGCAATATACTGCCCCATTTAGGGCCAATATAAGTTTAATTGATGTTTAATATTGGTTTAGAAAATTTAAGCTCTTGTAAATCACAGTAGCTTTTTCAGGTCTAAAACCATCTTATGATATTGCCAAAATAATGACAGGAAACCTACTCATTAAATTGTTAAACTTTTTTTATGGCTATGTGAAGATATGAGTTATTTCCTGAAGATTTATTCTTAATTGAGTTATATTGTACTTTTTCGGCAAAACAAACAAGGCTATGCCAATTAAGGCTTATAAGCAGTAATTTCCACTGGGGCATCAGAGTCTTGCTGGGCTGAATCTGCTTCTTGTTGGTTCAATATTTCTTATGAAGAAGAGCCACAGCATAGAGCTTAAAGTTATTTAAAATACTAAGTCATTTTACGTTTCCATTTTATTAACGGGATGTTGCAATTATTTGTAAACTAATAAACTTATATAGTGATTGGCACAAAGACTCCTTGAGCAAAACCTGCACAGTTAAATACAAAAAGATACCTAATTTGGAGACTCTTAAATTTTTTGCTGTAGTCATAATAATGGCTTTTACCAATTGAAAGACTAATAGGAACTCTACATATGTTAATTCTTTTATAAAACCTGACTCAAATCAGTGTACTCTCCATTGTATTGCCTTACCTGAATCAGTCCTGTTTGGTTGGTAATAGATCTTTAAATACACCCAGGTTTGATTTAAAAGTAAATTCTAGTTATTAAGCACTTTTAAAAAGAAATCCAATCCTGGCTGTTTTGCTCAGTTGGTTAGAGTGAGCATTTGGATCTCCATACTGGCCAGCTGCCAAAAAAAAAAAAAATCCACATTTTCCTGCACAAACCAGTTACAAAGTTCAAAAGTGTTTCTTATACATTTGCTTTAAGATCCAGTTTTTAACTTTGTAAACCACATCCAAGAGACTTGGCACTTCTGCATTATTGTGTGAGTTTAATTTTTTTTGATTCTATTTTAAGGACAGTAGGTAAAGATTTTCTGGCATTCTTGTTCAGTTGGTTACATTTGTATAAAATTCCAATTGCCAGTTGCTCACATAACAAGTGACAAGGCAGAATTCTTTAAAACATTAAAGTTCCTTAAACCTAAGGCTAAATCTTGAATACATTATTGAATTCTTTAATATCCGGATGGCTAGCAGATTGACAGCTGCACATTTGGCATGCTTTGTTTTTTGGATTTTATTTTTCATTGCAGATTTATTTGGCAATGTACAGTAAATTTTGTAAACTTGCATCAAGTTTATGAATAAAGAACCATTCAAAAATTACTTTGTCACTTTTCCCTCATAAGAGATACTCTGTGTAAGGTATCTGTAGGCTCTATTGAGTTTCTGGAATAGGATATTTGAGGAGGGATGGGGTAAGTGGAGGCTTGAGAGGAAGAGAAGCAGATTGACAAACAAGAGAAAGCTAGAGAACTTAGAAATAGTGTGTGCGCACTTTGTATATACTCAGCTTTTCCTCAACCTTTTTCCTCTTCCACACTCATTCTGTGATATAAATTCAAGTGCTACTTTGTTCATGGCTGTCCCTAGTTTCCCCAGTTACAATCATCTGCTCCCTCTTTAACATATCTATGGCCTTCTTACACACAATAGTCAGGTTATCGCACATACAAGAAGTCCAGAGGCAGGACAACTCCAGGCACCATAATCTGGGCTCTGCTCTACTTCTTTGAGATTATTCCATGTTGAGTTCATCTTTGGATTGAAAGTTGTTTGGATGTGCAGTCACCTTACTTGGTCCAGAGGTAGGTAATGGCCCTCTCTTCTGGTGCCTCTTCATGAGGTGAGGAAACCTTTAGAAGCTCCACCCCACCAAGCACACCCACCCCCTTTCCCCCATTTCCTTGGCTAGAAAAGGAGCCTGTGCCCACTCTAAACCAATGGCTGGTGAAAAGAATGAAGACATCTCGATTAGTTTGGACCAGTGGTTCTCAAAGTATAATTGGGGGAATCCTGGAGACCCCTGAGACCTTTTCAGGAGGTTTTTAAGGTCAAAATTATATACCGAAACATTATTTGCCATTTTTGCTTGCACTTTCATTCTGTCATGAGTGTACAGTGGAGTTTTCCAGAGACTACATGACATGTGATGTTGCCACAAATGGAATTCAGAAGCAGATGAGGATCCAGCTGTTTCTCATTAAGCCAGAAACTAGAGATTCGCAAAATGTAAAGTGATGCCGCACTAATCACTATTGAGGGGAGGAGGATCTGGGAAAGTTATTTTCCATAAAAATGTTATTTTGTTAATGTGTAATGGATTTATTAAGTGAATATTAGAAATTGTTTTAATTTTTAATATGGTAAATATTGATAGACATAACACATATAAGCTCTGGTTATTATGGATTGAGTATGTCTCCCCCCGCCAAGTTTAATTTGTTGGAGGCTTGGTTCCCACTATGTGTGAAAGTGTTAAGAGGGTGAGATCCTATTATGGTAATTGAAAGATGGGGCCTTGAAGAGGTGGTTAGATTGTAGGACCATGCTAGTGAATGAATTAATAATGGTGGTCGGGTGTGGTTCTGAGGGCTTTAACAGGAGAGCACATGAGACTGTCTCTCTCTGCTCTGCCATTTTCTGCCACCCCTGCCTTGCTGTAAAGCCACCACCAAAGACCACCCTCACCAGATGTTTTCCGTGGACTTTGGACTTCCCAGCCTCTGAACTGTAAGCCATAAATCTTGTTTTCTTTATAAATCACTCAGTTTCAGGTATTTGTTATAAGCAGCAGAAATGAACAAATACAGTGTTGTCAATATTTAAGACTATAAAAGGGTTCTGAGACCCAAATAAGAACCACTACTTAGATCAACCAAGCTCACTGTAAATTGGATATCAAAATCAGCACTTCTTCAGCAAGGAATCTGCTGGAGTAGGAGATGTTAGGTGACATGCAGCCGCCTCTGCTGTGCTTCCATCCCGTCTATCTTTGGTTCTCCACTACAGGTGTATCAGATCACTGGAAAATTTGTTAAAACACAGATTGCTGGGCTTCATCCCGTGTCTGATTAAATAGGCCTGGGGTAAGAACCGAGAATGAAGAACGAGAAAGAAACGTAACAGCTCTCAGGTGAATCAGATACTACTGGTGGAAAACTGGTGCAGAATTTGGGGCTTGCTTTCACAGCACTGATCCTATTCAGCCACCTAGAATGACAGATGCTGTTTTTGCCGTTTCACACATTGAAAACTTGAAGGCTACAACAACGAGCTCACCAAGTTCACAAAGTATTGAATAAAGGCGGTGATTTTCACATACTCAGTTTCTTAAAAGCAGATACTCCGTTCAAAATTTGGGCTCATGCTCTTTAACAGGCATTGGGATTATAAAGACCAATACATACTGCCTTCAAGGAACTCATGAATTAGACAAAGATGTGAACTGACAAAGAAAATACAGCGCTGCAACTGCAGTGAGAGGCACAGGGGGAGGAAAATACATTTCGACTACAGGATGCCTCCTATAAAGTACAGGGAGTACTACCGTACGGAAGGCCACAACCTCCCGGAACCGGAGAGCGACCCGAGACCTGCGCCGGAAACCCGGTGGTCTGGAGTCAGGCGAGCGCCCCCGCCCTAGCCCCGCCTTCCCCATCCGGCCGGAAGTGGCGCGCGCGCCTGCTCAGTGCGCGTCGGCGGGGCGGTGGTGTGCCGGCCGGAATAGGTTCCTCCGAGCCGCCGTAGTGCTTGCTCTAGCGGCTCGGTGAGGAATGGAGCCGGTGGCCGGCGGCGGTCACCGCGGCTGCAGCTCCTCCGCAGACCCACAAAGCACCTTCGTGCTGAGTAACCTCGCGGAGGTGGTGGAGCGTGTGCTCAACTTCCTGCCCGCCAAGGCGCTGCTGCGGGTAGCCGGGTGAGGAGAGGAGGCGGGAAGCTTACCTCGGGACCTGCCGTGGGCATTCCCACGCTGGCGGGGTGGGCAGAGACCGTCGGGACCCGGGGTGTCCTCGGCTCCCTTGCCCATCCCGAGGTATCCCTGCTCTAGTGCTCCCGGGGACTTCCTTGAGGGGCGAAGTTCCCGCCAAGTTCGCGTGCCGCCCTCCCTCGCTCCGAGTCAGCGTCCTGACACCTGCGTCTCCCAGGAACTTTGGGTCCCGCAGGGATCCACCGCTGCTACGCTAATGGGTTGGGGTCTGTGGGCCGTGGGAGAGATGAAAAGGAACGGCCGCTCGAACCCTTTGTGCGTTTGCATCCCCAGCGTGTGCCGCTTATGGAGGGAGTGTGTGCGCAGAGTGTTGCGGACCCACCGGAGAGTGACCTGGATCTCCGCAGGCCTGGCCGAGGCCGGCCACCTGGCGGGGCATTGCCTGGTCCGCGTGGTAGCAGAGGAGCTTGAGGCAAGTAAGAAAGGGTGTCGTGCACAGTCGGTTCAGGGGTGGTGAGTCAGTCTTTGAGAAGTAATTTTTTTATCCCAACTTTGCGTATGTACGGCCTTATTTTTGTTAATTTGGGGGTACATTTTCTCGTGCCGTGAAAAAATATTGTTAACGTCAGTTTTAGTGACTGTATTGTAAGGATGTGTATGACTTATTTGATCGTTCGTCAAATGTTGGGCATTTTAAGTATCAAAAGTTTCAATATTATTATAATGCTGCGCAGAACCTTCCCTTCACTTGCTTCCCTTGAAGCAAGTATTGTTGTCTCTGTTTTGCAGAGAAGGCATCTAGGTGTGTCTTGCCCAGTGTTATAACTGGAAAGTCAGGAAAGGAAACTTGAACCCAAATATTTAACCCCCAGTCCTGTACTCTTGCATCTCTGGGCCCCAGTTTCAAAACACCTAGAGAGGTAAAGACTTGGACTGTGGAGTCAGAGGGACAGTGAGGCCGTGGTACTTCACAGGGGAGTGGGAAGATGCCCTTTGAGAATGAATTGCCAGTGTGATGCTCTATCATTCTTTATGCTTTAGTATGTATTACATATAAGCAAGAACATTCTACCTAACCACAGTGCAACAAAATCAGGAATTATCACTGACACATTTCTACCATCTAATCTTCAGACTCCATTCAGATTTTGCCAGTTCCAGTAATGTTCATCATAGAAAAAGGACTCAACTGATAATTGCAAGTTGCTTTAAAGTGAGTCATGTTTCTTTAATCTCCTTTGATCTGGAACAGTTTCCCAAGCTTTTCTTGACTTTCCCACCCTTGACACACAACGAGAATTACAGGGCAGTTATTTTGTAGAACATCCGTCAGTTGGCCATGTCTGAGGTTTCTTATTAGATTTAGATTATGCATCTTTGGCAGAAATACCACAGAAGTGGTGCTGTGCTCTTCTCATGGCATCCTGTCAGGTGACATATGGTTTTCATTTTTCCCATTAGCAGTTATATTACCTTTGATTACTTGATTAAGTTGCTGTCTGCCATATGTCTCTATTGTAAAATTATGCTTCCACTGTATTTAATAAGAGTGTAGTGGTGAGATACTTTGAAACTATGAAAGTGTCCTGTTTAATTTATCCAATTGTTTATTTATATCTATATACTCTTGATCTCTTATTCAATGGGGTATACTCTGTTACTATCAGTATTTATTTTGGTGTTCAGATTGTCCCCAGTTTGGTTAATAGGTACCCCTTCAGGCTGGCTTCAGTGTGTTTTAGAGATGACTCCATCATCTTTGAGCCCTTCCTTGCTATCTGGCACAAGATGTCCTAAGCTTATCTTGTTTTGTCTGCTTCATTTCTGGAATTGGCCATTTCTCCAAGAAGCCTTGATTCCTTTTAGTGGAGAACGGTATTTAGAAACCAAGATCTGGACTCTTTAAGTGTACTCATTGCTGTTAAGGGATTTGCTGCTATAAAGCCCAGTCAGTAGACAGAACCTAGGAATATATGAGGGTACTTCAAAAAGTTTGTGGAAAAATGAAATTAAAAGATAAGTGCGCCGCTTGTGAAGCGCGGCGGCGCTCCCGCCCGAGGGTTCGGATCCCACATACAGACCTGTTCCCGCTCACTGGCTGAGCGAGGCACGGGAGCAACACCGAGGCTTGCGATCCCTTTGCCGGTCCCCGGTCCGGTCCGGGGGCAACACTGAGGGTTGCGATCCGTTGCCGGACACG